CAACTGTGAACCTAAAAGTTTACAGCCAATTTTGAAAGAGATGCATCTTTGCTCTGGAAATTGTTATTGAATATGTTAAATTCTGTAATGAAATGCTTCTTCTAATCATGTGGTCATTAAATAGTTTAAAAAGAGAGAGACCTTGGGCAGCTGGATTGATACCCTCCATACAGCAAGTAAACCTATGTATCTATCCTCTTTGATATAATTTCTCTTTGGGTTTGTTATTCATTTTCCCATAAGTTATATGAAGATAGAATTCATGTATTTTTTTTAAGCAGAGCACACAGATTTATTAAGGCTTATTAAGGAAAAGTGAGAAAGAACTCCCGAGAATGGAAAGAGCTTGTGATGGTTAGTTTTAACTGTGAACTTGATACAATCTAGAATCACCTGGAAAGAGAATCTCAGTGAGAGGTTGTCTAGATCAGATTGGTCTGTTACCATGTCTGTGGGGAATTATCTTGATTATGTTCACTGAGGCCAGACAAACTACCCACTGTGGGTGGCACTATTCCCTAAGCATGATCTTGAACTGCATAAGAGTGGAGAAAGCAAGCTGAATACAGCATGTAGTGTATGCATCCACACATTTCTCTCTGCTCTTGGCTGGAGATGTGATGTAACCTGTTACTCAAGTTCCTGCTGCCTCGATTTCCCTGAAATAATGGACCATTTCTATAATGTTTTGACTGCTAGGCTTGCATTTGTACATTATTCAAGGAGGGCTTAGGAACAAGGATTTTGGAAAACCTACTCAAATCAAGCTTTGGCATCATCTTTATTGTAATCTGGAATTGTGAGTCAAATAAACATTTTCTCCCTTAAAAAAAAAAGAACCACTCCCAGACTCCAGAACCATTGTAGAAGAGGGGGTGAAAAGATTGTAAGAGCCAGGGTTGGTGCAAGACCATAAGGAAACAGTCCTCCACGCCTCTGGGAACCTGCTCATATGAACTTATAGCAATGGTGTCAGCATGCACAAGACCCTTGCAGACTCAATCAGATAAAAACCCAGATAGACCTGAGGAAATGGGCAGGAGGCCCCCACCTTAGCCTAGGGACTATTGGCAGCTGATTATTGCTGTGTGAAGGAGAGTTGATCTTCTTTAAGGGATAGACTCTAGGTAGGTTGACTAGACTCCAGTGGATGAACTTTCATGGAGGGACATCTGGATACACAAACTTGACTCGATAGGCCTTAACATATGACAGAATGCATGAAATCTGGTGGATGGGAACATGGGGGGTTATGGATGAGGGAGGGAGTCTAAATATGATTAAGATATACTACATAGCGGACTGGAGAGATGTCTCAATGGTTAAGAGCACTGGCTGCTCTTGCAGAAGATCCAGGTTTGGGTCCCAGCACCCACACAGTGACTAACAACCATCAGTTGATTCTGAGATGATATATTTGCACACATATGTGTTTTGTTTTGTTTATGGATGTCAAAAGACAACTTGTGGGAGTCGGTTCTCTTCTTCCACCATGTGGGGATTGAACTCAGGTCTTTGGGCTTGACGGCAAGCACCCTTACTTGGGAGTCATTTCACCAGTCCCAATGATAAGTCCTTGCATCTGCATACATTCTTGTGGTCATTATTTCAGTGGTAATTTTAAACTCAGCAAAGTGACTGTCCAGTGATGGTCCTTTTCCTGGTGGGCTGACCCAAACCTTCATTCATAGTCATTAACAATCTTGAATGAATGTTTGGGAATGGATGTAGTAGGTGGGGCTCTACAGGATCTCTCAGACTTCCCTGCAGCCAGCAACTTCAGTACTATGGAGGCACCTTTGGTGCATACTCACTGTATCCTGAGGTGGGCAGAGTTTCCTGGTAACTGAAGGAATGGTGCAATGAGGATTCTTCCTTCATCCTTTTCCTCACCAAGGAGCTTCCTTTCAGCCAGCTTTCCTGTACCTCCTGTGCCATCTTCGAAGATTGGGAGGGCTCCTTCAGATGTGAATCTGAGTACAAAAGTGGAGTTCTTTCTTAATTATGTCTTCTCAGCCCCAAATTAGGATGACTCCTCAGCTATCTTGTGGTGGAGGTTTAGCTTGGGTCTTTGAACTCAACCAGTCTTGGGCTTGGGGAGGGGATCAGAGAGAGGGGGAAATAGAGGAGGAGGTCTGAGCTCTCCTCTGGCTCCACTTGTGTGCTACAGGAACAGGCACTGTAGAAAAGGAAGGATGATAGAAGGGGGAAGAGGAGAGTAGAGCTGAGTTCAAATCTCTAGCACAGGTAGAGGCACCTGTAACCTCAAAGCTACAAGGAGGGGAATGGGAGTAGTGCAGGAGGAGGAAGGGCGAAGACAGGAGGAGAAGATTGTAAAGGGAGAGGTGTTGTGAGAAAGGAGGGGAGCAAGAGGGAGTACTTGCTGTGGTTGGGTGAGGGGAGAAGGTGGCTAGAAAGGAGGGGGGAAGGGAAGGAAGGAAAAGATTGTTGGCCTCCCCTTAGCCCAAACTCCACTGATACCGGGAGACCATTGCGCACCGGTCCCTGTCATGGAAAGTCAAGTCAGGGTGAGGAGAGAGACTGATGGTGTGAGAAGGGCCTTGGCAGCAGTGAGTACAGCGGGAAGAAACACCCGGGAGACTGACAGCTCATTTATTATGGCGGAAGCAGGGGTTTATATAGGAAAGTTTCCCGGGAAAAGAGGCGGGGTTGGTTTTCTAGCAGGCCAGCAGGTAGGGGAAAGCCTATTAAGCCTTCTAAGGCTATGTGGCCTTTGTCCTGTCCTCCAGTCACATGATCTACATGAGACCTGGTTAGTATTAAAGGATTAGAGACCTAATAGTTTTGCTTGGGGGTTGTTGGGTAAGAGACAGTGTATCTAGAATGGAGCAGGCCAGTTTCCTGCCATCTTCACTAGGAGGTCTCTGCCCTGGCCATGCTCTACATTCCAGGCACTCCTGACTTATCCCAACAAAAAATGTCTCAAGTTTTCGTCTGGTCTCTAATTATGCTGCGTAGGCAAATATATACAGACATATAGCACACATACACATAACTAAGTAACCACTTAATAAATACATAACTAATACATAAATAAATTAATTAAATAATTTCCTGAGGGAGATTGTGGCTGTTGGATTATAAATTCAAGGCCTACCTGGGGCTTATATAGCCATTTCATGCCAGCCTGTACCACCACCACCAAGAAATTCAAAAAGTGCTGGCCATGTGGCTCAGGGTAGACAGTTTGGCTAATTTAAGGATAAGGGTTCAAACCTCAGTACTATACAAATAAATGGCTGGGGAGATGGGCCAGCTAGTAAAGGCCCTTACGGCAGCAGCCTGACAATCTAAATTCGGTAACCCAAATCCAAGGTACAAGGAGAGAACCAAGACCAGGATGTTGTTGTCTACCCTCCACAAGCACACCATGGCCCACATGCACTGATAATGACACATACATGCATGAATAATATTTTTCATCTTTTACTTCTTTTTGCTTTTTGTTGACAGGGTCTCCCTGTTCCTAGCCCTCCTGGAAGTCACTATGTGGATCAGGCTGCTTGCCTCTGTCTCCAAGTGCTGAGATTAAAGGCAAGTGCCACCACACCTAGCATAAATAATAATTAAATTATATATAATATATGAATGACTGGGCATGGCGGCGTACACCTTTAATCCAAGTAGTACTGGGGAAGCAGAGGGAGACAGATCTCTGTGAGACAGAGGCCAGCCTGGTGTACATAGCAAATTCCAGGTCAGCTGAGGCCACAGAGAGACCCTGTCTCAAAAACAAAACAAAACACAGAAACAAAAACATAAAGTAATCTTTGCTTGCCCTAAATGGGCAAAGATAATATCCCAAGCATTCTATGTCTTCCATGAAGTAGGGGTGAAAGTATAATTTTTCCTTGTGTCTGTGAAATAGACTATCTTTTTCCATAATGATTTACTGACCCCGTGCCATGAATCTATTTTCTTTCCTTGCTTGTATCCAGTTGTCTGTTCTTTTCTACTGCTGTCTTTGCCTATCCTTGCTCTGATGCCCTATTGTTTTAATTACTTCGCCTTTTATACAACAATCCTGATAAGTGTGTATTCTAACTTAGCTTTACTTAAAGACTGTCTAGTCCAAGCAATTTAATAGCCGTACTCATTATGAGGTTCCCAACTTTCAAAATCAAGTAGCACAGTGGGATATTGAATGAGATGGTTATTATTGTTGTGGGAGGTATTGATGCTAATGAGTTTTAATAACAAAACGTCAATCCACAGAAAGACTGTTCCTTTCAATTTACCTTGGTCTTCATTTGCTCTAAATGATGGTTTATATTTTCTATGGAATGTGTTAGCACATCTCACATTCTATTCCTAGATGTTCAAGGTTTGGGGCTTACTTTCATTGGTATTTTGAGCTTTATATCCTAATTATTTGCGATTATGATTTTTGTTCCCAGATTGAGAAACTTGGCTATTGTCATTTAGTAACTACAAGGGTTTATATCTTTCTAAAATTAAATTAAGGATTTAAAAATTTTTATGTGTATGTGTCTGTGTGTGTGCGCGCGCACACGCATGCCACATGTCTGCAGGTACCCTTAGAAAGCAGAAGAAGGCATTGGGTGCCCTGGAACTGGAGTTACAGACTATTGTTAGCTGCCATGTGGGTGCTGGGAACCAAACCTGGGTCCTCTGCAAGGGCAGCCAGTGCTCTTAACCACTGAGCTATGTCTCCAGTTCCAGTTTCCTTTCATTCTGAGGGTTTTATACATGTAGAAATGTCACCTGTGAATGACAGTCTTACTTCTTCCTTCCTAACCTCTACATATTTCCCTGGCTCTGCCATACTTCTAGGACTCCTGGATTGTTGCTGGTAGGTTGGGGAGAAAATGCTTGGTGTTTTTTTAAGCATATTTTTAATTGAATTTTGTGCATTTCATACAAAACATTTTAATCATCTTTACTCCCTATCCACATTCCCCTAGAATCCCTAATACACCAGATTTCATACATTCTGTTGTATATGCTAAGGCCCATTTTAAAATATGGAACTTCATGAATTTGTGTGTCACTCTTGCACACGGGTCATGCTAATCTTCTCTGTATCATTTCAATTTTAGTATGTGTGCTGCCGAAGAGAGCACTTGGTATATTTTTTACAATATTTTTATTGAATTTTTGTGCATTTCATACATCTTAGTCATATTTAGGGGTCCTCTCTTATCTGCAACCCTATATTCCCTCCACTGGATTTCATGCATTTTCTCATTCATGTAAAGGCCTATCAAGACAAGTTTGTGTCCCCAGATGTCCCTCAGTGTGATTTCATCCAACTGGAGCCTGGTCAGCCTGTCCCTTACACAGCCAAGTCTCCCTCACTGAGCAGTGATTAGTTGCTAATAGTTCCACAGCTATTGTTTGGGCTTCTTACCCATTTCCCCACTTTTACGCTGGGTTTTTGTCCGGTTTGAGTTCGCATGGGTCTTGTTCATGCTGATACCATTGCCATAAGTTCATATGAGCAACTTCCCTGAGGCCTGGAAAACTCTGTTTCCTTGTGGTCATCCACTGCCCCTGGCTCTTCCTGTTGTTTTTTAATATCTGATTTATTATTTTTATTTTGTATGTATGTGTGTATTGCCTGCATGTAGGTAAGTGTACCCATGTCGTGCAATGTATGCGGAGGGACAGAAGAGGCTGTCGGTTCCCCTGGAACTGGAGTTACGGACAGTTGTTAGCTGCTATTTGGGTGCTGAGATTCAAACCAGGGTCTTCTGCAAGAACAGCCAGTGTTCTTAACTGCTGAGCCATCCCTCCAGCCTGGCTCTTCTTGTTTTTATCCCCCACCCTCTTGTGCAATGGTCCCTGAGCCCTGGGTGGCAGAGGTTTAATATGCGTCCTATCCAGGGACATGCACTCTGCAGTCTCTTATTCTCTATATTTTGACCAGTTGTGGATTTCTGTATTGATTATCCTCTGTTGCATGAGGAAGCTTCACTGGTGGGAGTTGAGATGAATTAGTATCCTCTCTCTAACCCCTGTTACACTATGTTCTGTGAGCCTTAGGCGTAGAGGTTGCAATGTGTCACTTAGGGCTGGGCATCTTACATTTATTCTCCGTGTTTGACCAGTTGAGGAACTCTGTAATAGTCTCCAATTACTGTAAAACGAAGCTTTTTTGATAAGTGATGCATTTATATTTGCCTATAAATATAAGGAACCATTTTAACACACAGCAAGAAATTGTCTACAGATATGACAGACACAGGTTTTTCCCTAGGATCTATGACCTCTGCGGTCATGCAAATTTAGCTGTTTACAGTACCACACATTATTTCCCTTCCATTGAGTTGGTTTTAAGTCCAATATGATAGCTGTTGATTATTTCCAAGATAAAAGTTTCACTACTGCACCAATAGAGACAATTTAATGTGCCAGTCATTGTTGTTGTTATTAGGTTTTACAGCGGGGTTGTGGGGGGGAGAAATAAAATGCCTAGGTGGTGTAAAAAAACAGGGGTAAATGTACTAATTCAAAAGCCTATTGAAAAAAATATATATACTATATATGAATGCATGTATATAATTGAAGGCTATATAACAAGAAACACAGTGTCAGCAGGAGAAATCACCCTTTCAACTGTTGGTCAGGGTAGTCGAAGAGACTCCCCAAAATAACATAAGCTATTGCCACAGCCCTTGCTTGCCTCCCAGAACTTGAAGTTAAGACCCTATTGCTGAAGACAGAGCATACTTCAGATACAGGTCTTGGAACAATGGAGCTGGAACTAACCTAGAAGCCTCCTCCCTGAAGATTAGCTCTCATGGTATCAGTAAAGACTGCGGGCCACCAAGGGAGAAAAATGCTTGGTATTTTAAAGTAACTTTGACATTGTCATAGATTTGTTTTTGTTTCTGTAGACTCCGTTTGTTGGTCGGCCTATGCCATCGTAGTGGAACCTATTAGGTAGCCTCTGGCGTCTATCGTTGCACTTTGCACTTTCTCTCTTTACCCTTCTCTTCCCTGACCCTCTCCCATCCTGCTAGTGCCCTTCCTTCACACAATGGTCCTCCTGCTACCTTCCTATCTTACATAGATACTGTTAAATGCAGATTGTCCTATGAGAGCAAGCATGTGCTATTTTGTCTTTCATAGAAACACTTTAAAAGGTTATGTCAGTGGCCTTTTATTCTAAGTTGCTGTTCCTTGCAAATCATGAATAGGAGTTGAACTTGAAGTTACCTTGAAAATGATCCTGGTATCCCCTCTGCCTTTTTCTATCGCTGTGTTTAGTGGTGATTGAAGTGAAAGCAGCCTTACCTTTCTGCACTGAACTGCACCTTTGCATTTTGTATGGCTTCCACTTACATTTGCTTTTTATTTGCTAATCTTTTACTTAAGTGGCTTGTCTTGGGGCCAGAGAGATGGCTCAGTGGGGGAAAGTTGCTTGCTACCAAGTCTGATAATCTGAGTTCAATTCCTGGAACCCACATGATGGAACCCACAAGTTGTCCTCCGATCTTTACACTCCCAGCATGACACACGTGTGCGTACACATGCACAATAAATAAATAAAGTAAATAAGTAAATAAATGTTTAAAGAAGATGTTTGCCTCTATTTTCAGGAGAAATTGTGCCCTCTAGTTTTGATCAGTTCTAATGTTGGTATCAGATTTCTATTGGCTTCATAAAATGAGTTAGGAACTGGTTGGGTTTTTTTTTCCATTTTATGAAAGAATTTGTGTTATCACATTTTTTTCTCCTGAATGTTTAGAGGACTCCTTACCAGAAGCTTTTTGGATACAAAGATTTCAATTTTTGTTCTGACAGTTTTTACTGAATACAAAGACACTCAGAGGTTTTGTTCCATGGGGGTTTTATTTTTCTAGAAGTTTGTCTATTTTATCTGTTTTTAAACATGAAGTGACTTTTTTTTCATAATATTCTGCTCCTCCCTTTTCACTGACTTCTCTATCCATAGTTCCCTATTCTTTTGTTTTATTTGGTTTTGCTTTTGAGCCTGCATCTCATTCCCAGCCTGGCCTCAAGATTGCAGCGGACCTCTTCTCAGTCTCCCTGTGCCAGGTGAAAAGCCGGACCCACCTTGACAGCTTGTGAGCATTTTCTTCACAATGGTAATTGTCTCCTTTGCTGCACACCTTTCAGCTTGATGCAATGCCATCTGTTTTTGTATTACTTTTTCTGTATTAATGGAATCGTTTTCAAAAATTCTTGCCTATACCCATTACTCGAGCTATTATCTCTGTTTACTATAGTAATTGCAGAATTTCAGGTCTTTGCTCCATTTGACTTTGATTCATTTGACTTTCAATCTTTCAATCTAGTTTCTATCTTCTATACATAGATACTCAGCATGTAAAGCACCACTGTTGAAGAAGCTGCCTTTTCTCTAGTTTATAGGGTTTTTTTGTACCTTGGTTGAATAATAGTTGTATTTATATGCCTTATGTTTCTCAGCTCTGTTTCATTGATATCTGTCTCCCTTTGTCTCTCTGACTCACTTTTCGCTTCCTCTGTCTCTTTCTGCCTTTCTCTGTCTCTGTTGAACTCTCCTCTCTCTCTCTCTCTCTCTCTCTCTCTCTCTCTCTCTCTCTCTCTCTCTCTCTCTCTCTGCCAGCACAAGGGTTTTTTGTTCCTATGACTCTGTAGTCTATTTTGAAGCTAGGGATTGTGGGGCCTCTAGCATTGCTCTTGTTTACTCAGGATTGTTTTCACTGTTCATTGTCTTCTGTGCTTCCATCTTGGTTTTATAATTTTTTTCTAGTTTTTGTAAAGAATGTCCAAATTCTTTTGTAAAGAATTTGATTTGAATTTTGCATTGACGCTATACTTCATTTTAGGTAATATGGCAACTTTGCCAACACCATTTCTACCAACTGACCCATGGACATGAGCAGTCTTTTGGTCTTCCAGCATTTTCTTCAACTTTGTCAATCTATAGTTTTAATGGCAGAGCTCTGTGATTTACTTGGCTGGGATTATTCCAAGATATTTTGGAGGCTACTGAAAATGGGACTATTGGCCTGATCTCATTGCCACTATGTTTGTCATTGGCATGTAGCAAAGCTACTGATTTCTGAATTTGGCCTTTCTATGCCGCTATGTTACTGAAAACGGTGTTCAGATGAAAGAATTTCTAGTGTGGTTTTTAAGTTGTTTTAAGAATATAGTCAGGGGACTGGAGAGGCGGCTCAGTGGTTAAGAACACTGGTTGTTCTTTCAGAAGACCCGGGTTTGAATCCCAGCACCCGCATGACAGCTAACAACTATCTATAACTCCAGTTCCAGGGGATCCAACAGTCTCTTCTGTTCTCTGTGGGCATTGCACAACATAGGTGCACTTACCTACACTCATACACATAAAATAAAAATAATAAATAAAAAGAAATTTTAAAAAAAGAATATACTCAGAGAACTAGGAACATGGCTGAGTTGGTAACGTGCCACACCCTGGGAGCCACAATCCTAGTTCCTTCATTATGTTGAAGTACAACCCTATTTCTACTTTCTACAGGGCTTTTCTCCTGAAGAGATGCCAAAATTTTGCCAAGATTTTTCTTTGTTATTTTGTTTTTTCGCTTTTGCAACAGTCTCCTGTTGGGTTGACTGGTCTCAAACATGCTAAGGATGACTTTGAATTCTTGACCCTGCTGCCTCCATCTCCCAAGTCCTGGGATTATAGAGTTGTGCTAATACTTCGAGCTCGTCAAGGCCTTTTCTGCATTTATTGAGATAATCATGTGATTTTTTTCATATTTATTTGTATTATCATTTTACGTTTTAGTGTGTTTCCATGTGTGTTTGAGAAAGGAAGAGGAGAGAGAGAGAGACAGAGACAGAGAGAGACAGAGAGACAGAGACCATATGCCATAGTGCATGTGTGAGGACAACTTGGAGGAGTTGGTTCTCTCCTACCATGTGGATTACAAAGATCAAACTCAGTTCATCAGGCTTGAAGGCAAGCACCTTTCTCTGTGGAGACTTTTACCCAGTCTGATCATGTGATTTTGCCCTTGATTGGATTTATGTGATGTGTTATGACTGTTAATTTCTACTTGTTGAGCCATTGTTTTAATGTGTTGTTGAATTAGGTTTGCAAATATTTTTATTGAGGAATTGAGTT